CAGAGTTTAATTATAGAGGGTTTTTATTTTAAGTAATAGAGGTTTTGGACTCCGAGGGGAAGGGAACACAAAATTTTATGAATTTATAGAGGTCATTACGTTATCGAGGTTTAAGTTATCAAGGTTCTACTGTAGTATCTTTTGGGTTTATTGGCTGACATAAACGTTACAGAAGAAGATGGAACCGTCTAGGAAGTTAATGAGCTTTTAATCAGCAGATTTGACAAGAAGACTCATTGAAAGCTAAAGTCCAAACTAAAATTATATTTTGACTTTTGCCCAACGATATTTTGTCTCATTCTAAAGAACGCTATCTCGCACAGTCAAATGCCTTCTCGAATGTTATATTTCTGCAAAGAATCTTTCCAATTTCAAAACTACACTTCTAATTAGTTTTCCTTGTCAATAATAGTAATGTAAAAACCTAAATTACTAATATTCTCACCAACGCGAAGATTTGATTAATTTTTGGGTTATTTTATAGTTGAGTTTAGGTAGTAAAATTACGTTTATGGTATTAGTACTAATTTTATTTAATTATTCAGTTAAGGAATTTCCTATTCATTTCTCCGATTCCGAGACAATGGAATTAAGACAAAACATGGTAGTTATTCTTGTTGTAAAAGACGTCGCCGATGCTCGGTCGAAGTTAATGTAACAGGCAGTCAAGAAGCAGAAGCTAATGGAGTTTTCGAATACGAATTTGAATTTTACCACAGCGGAGCGTTATTAAGTCTATTAAGATGAAAAATAATGCAAATTGTTTCGAGGATTTATTATCCTCGCGAGTTTACAGCATCCACGGTCCGTAGGAGGGTTACAATGTCTGTATGGTATCCACTATCAATCATTCCTTAAGTTTTATCTATACACGGGAAAAAATGCGAAAAACAACGGATATATTCAATTTGAATAATGACATGGCAGGTGATAAATCACAGGTCCTAAGTTTCCTCGCAGAGCTGCGAAGAACGCCAAGGACTTGGCAGATAAAATTTGGTCCTTTTTCAAGGAGAAGTCCCGCGTTTTTATGATTTTCGCCAGCCAGCAGCCTGTTTCCATCCGTGACAGCGGATGACTTAAACTGGAATGATGAATGTAAACGGTAAGGATAGGAGAGCTTACGACTCCCATACATGGTTAAATTGAGAAAGGACTTCGACAGCCGTTGGCTGTTTAAAATACGTACAAAAACTCGTCCTGTAATTTAGCCTCCAACATTAATATTCTACAATATAATAACAACCTCCACTTCGCTTGCTATTCTATATAAAACGATTTACTGACAAACGAACTTTTAGGGATAATGATACGGTACACTTCGAATTTAATCAAAAGGAAACTTTAATAAAAGGATATTTATTGTGATAAATGACTCACCAGTTTTGCAATTTTAATG